AATCTATTAAATTTTATTTAACACTTGACTCATTAATTAATATAATTATATTATTTATCTCTAAAATTTAATTTATTAGTTGATATTTTTAACTTTATTAAATATTACTTAACATTTAACGTATTACTTAACATAATTATATTATACACTCTTTATTTAAATGATTTAAATATCTAATTTAGCTAAAAAATAATGAAATTCACTTTCAGCAACAACAACCATGTTGCTGAAAGTGAAGAATACTTTTTGAGAGGAAAGTGTACTATTTAAGCGAAATTCGATCATGAACAGTAATAAAAAATTTTCAATAACATGGTTCTTGTTACTAAAAATAAATACCACTTTTTGCTAATTAATTTATGAAATTGGTGCAAAATCCGGTCATAAACAGTAAAAAAAAATTTCAGCAACAAGAATCATGTTGTTAAAGTAAATACCACTTTTTGCTAATTAATTTATAAAATTGGTGCAAAATTTGGTCATGAACAGTAACAAAAAAATTTCAGCAACAAGAACCATGTTGCTAAAAGTAAAGAATACTTTTTGCTAATTATTTTATGAAATTGGTGCAAAATTCGGTCATGAAAAGTAACAAAAAATTTCAGCAACAACAACCATGTTGTTGAAAGTGAAGAATATTTTTTGATGGGAAAGTGTACTATTTAAGCGAAATCCGATCATGAACAGTAACCAAAAATTTTCAATAACATGGTTCTTGTTGGTAAAAATAAATACCACTTTTTGCTAATTAATTTATGAAATTGGTGCAAAATCCGGTCATGAACAGTAAAAAAAAAAAATTTCAACAACAAAAATCATGTTGCTAAAAGTAAATACCACTTTTTGCTAATTAATTTATGAAATTGGTGCAAAATCCAGTCATAAACAGTAACAAAAAAATTTCAACAACAAGAACCATGTTGCTAAAAGTAAAGAATACTTTTTGCTAATTATTTTATGAAATTGGTGCAAAATCTGGTTATGAATAGTAACAAAAAAATTTCAGCAACATGGTTCTTGTTGTTGAGAATCATTTTCAACAACAAGAACAATGTTGCTAAAAGTAAAGAATATTTTTTGCTAATTAATTTATAAAATTGATGCAAAATCCGATCATGAACAGTAACAACAAAATTTCAGCAACATGGTTCTTGTTGCTGAAAACTATTTTCAGTAACAAAAACCATGTTGCTAAAAGTAAAGAACACTTTTTGCCGATCAATTAATGAAATTGGTGCAAAATCCAGTCATAAACAGTAACATAAAATTTTCAGCAACATGGTTTTTGTTGCTAAAAATGATTTTTAGCAACAAAAACCATGTTGCTAAAAGTAAAGAACACTCTTTGTTAAAATGTGTACTATTTAAGTATCAGTAACATGGGTTTTGTCGGTGAAAATTCATATCACCGACAAGCAATTTCATATTGCTGATACTCAGTTGTTGATACTCAATTGCTGAAAACAAAAATTTTAGTAGTGCACACTCATCACCATTAAAAATACAAAGATAAGAACATAATGATTAGTTCTTAGTTGCTAATTTTTTCTTAGTTAATAATTTATTTCTAATTAATAAAAATCAACCTTGATCCACTTTCTCCTTGTATTTGTTTAAACATATTCTAGATTTGTCTTTTGAATTTAATATTGAATAAGGCTGTGTGTTGTATATAATACCTTTCTAAATATTAAATAAAACTATATTTTTGATACAATACCCTTATAAATATTGAATAAGTACTAAATATTAACATTTATGTTAGATTTGTTTTTTAAACTCTAATCTTTCATGTCTCTTTTTTTAATAAAGTTTAATGCCTTCATGAAATTATTAATTTTAAATATTATATAAGCATTATATACTTAACATATATTTTAATTCTATCTATGTAATTAGTAATGTTTTCCTTTTTTTTTAATAAGATTGAAATGAAATTTGAACCATGAAATAAAAATTAGCATTTAATAAAGTTTTTTAACTAAATAATTAATTAATATTAGATTTTATTAAAAAAATAAAAAAATAAAAAAAATTTAACTTTAATTTTAATTTTTTTAAAAATTGAATTCACTTGACCTGTGTACGTGGGTCATGGTCTACCTCTTTAATCAACCTCCAAAATAACCCAATTCAAAAAGTTCAAAATCCGAAATGATTCGGTCTGATCCGAACCGACCTGATTGGACTTGTTTGCTAGGTATAGTCAGGGTGTTTCAACTCAATTTTCCGTCTTCAAACTAGGCCCCCTCTGCTGTGATCTTAAACGTTGCTTCTTCTGTTTTTTTTTAATAGATTAGAGCGGGAGGAATTGAACCTAACCCAAGGCTTGGGTTACATCTATTAAGGTGGCCAAATCACTAGACTGAGAAGACCAGCTACTTAAAAAATTGCTTTTACATGATGTATTAATTTTCTTAAATATTGAGTTAAAGATTGAAGCGTTTTCCTTATTGAAGAAATTTTTTATTTTAATAT